CCTCCAAATTTGACGCGTTGCGTCGCCCGTCTCTGTTGACTTCGGTCAGCTGCTTATCTTCTCGCAATTTCCCGCCAATTGAGTTGTGATAATCATTTCGAGGTAGAAACAACACCATGAGAACCGTGTTCGGTTACTTCGCTTGATAACGCATCTGAAATTCGCCATTATCTACATCCGCTCTCCTCAAATTTCATATTCATTGTTTCGAGGTTACCCTGTTGGGTCCGGGGCGAGATGGCAGGCACCTGCATCTCTTTATCGGGGTCCTCGCAGTGCCCTGCTTTCAATGGCTCATCCATATCAACCAGCTCGAGTCTCTACACGGATTTGTAGGCCATACCCCATGTATCCACCTGGTCGCTGCGTGCTGACCTTCTGATAGTCCTTTTATGCAATATGTTTCGAATCTGGACGATTTTGATCGAGAATTGAGCAACTACGTGAACGGCTCCTATGTCAAGCAAAAGTAAGGGCATATCTCCTTCCAGGGTCACTCATAGCTTCGACTAAAGCGTCATGATCATATTTAGGTATATCGACTATCTGGGATGCCAAGGAGTGAACCTCACCCACGCGAGTAACTACTATGCCCGCTATACCACCAGTACAATATGCAGCGGACTCGTTCAAAGCTCAAGGACCTACTGCAATCTTTCCGGCCAGCAGTCAAGACCGCTTTGCGCTGACACTTGCGCCTTGATGGCCACGAGCGAGGAGGAAATCGTCGTCAATGCTGACCTTTGCCGGACAACAGGCAGTAACTACATGAGTCAAATCCGCTCAGATTTCACCATATGCTCCTTGCCTGCCGACTCACTCACCGGTACTTGCATTTCCGGCGCGGATAATGAGCCCCACGAGTGCGGCTATAGGTCGAATTTGATCGGACTATGTGGATACTGCGGAGCCAGCTCGCCCAACTCGACTGATTCTTGCTGCGTCAACGCGAATGCAGCGAGCCGATGCGAAGGCGTTACGATTCCCACCCCGACTGCGACTTTGCCTCCAATATTCACCTCAACCTCCAACCCGACAGCAGATGCCGGTGCTCATGACGGTCTGTCGGGAGGGCAAATCGCAGGCATCGTCATCGGATCTGTCGGGGGAGCCGCCCTCCTGGCAGCTCTTATCTTTTTGATCCTCCTTTTGCTACGGCGCAGACGCAACTCACGGGATTATAGTGCCCTTAATAAGCCCAATCCGCAACGGAAAGGGTTTCCGTCCATGCAACAGGATAAAAATCAGCAAGGTTTCCCCTCGGTGCCAGGCGGACGGGTGGCCAGGATGTCTGCTCTGCGCGAAGTGCCAAGCTTGTCTCCCGCACGCTCTCGTAACTCTGCTGCTCTCTTTGGAAGTGCCAAGTACAGCGATACGTCCGACTCGGAAGGTTACGGCGCAAGCCCGGGAGCAATGTCAAAGCGAATTCCACCGGTCACTGGAAGGCGCCATGGATCTCTGTCGAGCAACTCGGCCCTGGCTGGCGCATATAGTGACTCATCACCTCGCTCGGGAACTAATGGCCAATTCTCTTCACCCGAAGGCGTTGCAAGTGGGCAGTCGGAGCAATTGTCTTCGTTCCAAGATTATTACTCACCCGATGACATACGCCCTGGTGATAAGGTAGCCGTGCTCTGGGCCTATCAGCCGCGGGCAGGGGATGAGTTCGCCTTGGAACGCGGAGAGATGTTGAAGGTGATTGGTATTTGGGACGATGGGTGGGCGACTGGCATTCGGATGCCAGAAACTGCAGAAGACTATGACGCCAGGCACCGCGAGCAGCGTGACAGTGGTGTATCTAATGGATCACAGAGATTGGCAGCCTCCCCATCGCCTACAGGAGATATCAAGGCATTCCCGCTAGTCTGTGTCTGTCTGCCACAACACTGGAGAAAGATCATCGAAGGCGGGCAGGATGAAGATGTTTCGTGATCTCCAGCCTGACAGTTTGACTCTAAGATTGTCACAACCTCATGATTCTCCGCACCCTCCGGAGGTCTTATGCTTTCATGACACAACATCCTTGTCCTTCTCTGATCGGCATCAGACTCATCGCCAGGATAGCGGCGATAGAATTCTCCCAATATGGCTGAGCAGGGGTATCATAATTACTATGGCTCTACGCCCTCCATCTTGTCATTCTGATATACCAAAGACATGATGACTTCTTCCATCCTGATCTTCACTTGTTGCCTTCGTTGTCGCGAGCATACAATGCAGCTCCCAGGCCATCATTTTATGATGAGAACAAATGCTCGCGAAGCAGTTCGTCGGATGCTTGTGAAACGACTTTTTACGGTTCATATTGATATACCCCATTTTACGCCTGCGAGCCATTTCTTGTTATCGGCCTTGGTGCCTTCCTATTTTATGATAGTTCACTTTCCCTTCTAGCCCCTCAAACCTGTCACAAGATCAGGTAGCTGTGGGTTGAGCACGATTGTTGACCATATCAATACATATTGACAGATGTACATAAATAAGAGCCCTTTTCGCGTCTGCCTTATGGCACTGCGAGCATAACATCTACAAATATTCCATTCTGTCTGATCCAATTAGCTCCAAACTTACCATATGCCTAAGGCTTGCTCATCATACTAACTCCGTACCAGAGCTAATCTCAGAAATTCAAGGAGCTGGTACGCTCGTCTTCGAGTGTGACACAAAGATCACAGCCGTAAGCCTACTGTGGATTACTTGACGTTAGATGGCTCGCTAGGGGCTAGTCGACGTCGAGTCCCATGGTTGAGCTCCATCAAGATAATATGGATCTATGATGTAGGCAGACCCGTATAGCTGTGATATGGCAACGTTGTCTTAAGAGATAGTAAACGTATAACTATGCTGCCTGGCTGTATACAGCCGTCAAAGGCCTGATATGTCAGGGTATGGATGGGTGAGTATGGCTATAAGATATATATAATCCGTCTGTTATCGTATAGGCAGCAAAGTAATGCATACAGATATAAGTTAACTGTAGTCGTCGATCTGAAAGAAACAGTGTGCATATATTCAATCTTGCAACTTCAGGGCTTTCTGGACACTATCTACCTATCTACAATTCTTCGATATTCTCACACCCTAGCGGAAAAAGAGGAAGAAAATCATCCATTCAGGGGCAAAAACAGGAAAAGAACAGGCTGTGCATTGTGGTGCAACGGAAGGTCACGTGCAGGAACCCACCCACCCCCACCATCACATCAACAACGCAAGCACAACAGCAAAGCCCCTCTATCTCCATCTCCGTTCGCAATCCTCCACTCTCTATTATTTCACCCCCCTTTTGCCCCAAACTGCCAGTATTGGTGTAGAATATCTCGGCACCCTTCTTAATATAAGTAAGCATTGACTGATCAGCAAATCTCGAAGTGTCTACAAGACTCGAGTGGGATCACTAACATCGCGTGCGAATGCAGCTTATCCTCTCATAAATCAGCTTTGGGGTCTATATCTCGCAGGCAACCATGTCGGTATGTCATAGTTCCGTTTACTCCTCTTCGTAGAGGCAAACTTACTAATGGTATCTGTTTGTCTCGCAGCTCGCATCCGGGTATGTTGACAGTTCTACCTTTTCCGCGTTCCTACGGCGGCTCGGCTCCATCGAAACCGATTGCGCATTCATACTGACGGCCGCCTTTTCTGCTACAGTGTCTCTGTCGCAGATGAATGCATCACTGCATTCAACGACTTCCGCATGAGCGGTAACAAGGCCAACAAGACCAAGTTCATTATCTTCAAGATCGCCGATAACCAGAGGGAGGTTGTCATCGACGAGGTCTCGCAAGAAGAGGACTACGAGGTCTTCCGTGGCAAGCTCGAGGCTGCCAAGGATAGCAAGGGTAATCCCGCTCCTCGTTATGCAGTCTACGATGTCGAGTATGATCTCGGTGGCGGTGAGGGCAAGAGGTACGATTGCTTCGCTCTAAAATGAGGTGGACTTCAGTGGCTGACCGTCGATCTGTAGAAGCAAGATTGTTTTCATCTCCTGGGTTCCCTCAGACACACCTACTCGGGTATGGCTCGGTCTTGTCGTATTTTCTGTCAAAGTTTCACCATCTGACGGTCATTATCTAGTGGTCCATGATCTACGCCAGCACACGGGAGAACTTGAAGAACGCTCTCAACATCCACAACTCCATCCACGCCGACGACAAGGGCGACATTGAGTGGAAGACTGTTCTGGCTGAGGCCAGCGGTGGTAAGGCTGGTAAATAGACGACAGCACCGGCTGGGTCCGGGCCAGTTGACCTAGTGCGTGTGTGCTAGTTATCGCGCTAATTTCATGTGAGCGTCGAGAGTACCTCCAAGCGACCGACTCGATGGCCCTTTCAGCACACACACACACATAGTTTCAATTTGAGATTGTTACGACTTGACCGCCTTTATAGTGACCGTACCATCTTATTGCGATTGTCATCGTGAACAAAACGATGGGGAGGGGGATTGTCTTTCTTTCATGAGTCAGCGTTTGCCTGTACAGAATATTGCTGCCTTGCTATGGGGTGTGATTTCGACGGTTCTTTGTAGAGTAGAATACACGATATCACCTCCACAAATCATCCCTCTTTCTATTCGCGGGGTTGCTGTTGAAGATATGAGTAATAGTGAGGATGAGCCGAAACGGCAAGTCACCTGGTCGGAGCCGGATATCACAAATGTAGCGGATAAGTTAGTCTAAGTAGTGAAAATTGAAAGAGTCTTTGGCGAATGGATGTGCGATCTCCATAAACTTATGATGTTTGATGAGGGAACGGCCGGGTTGTCTGAAGACAGGCGTGGCTGTTGACCAATCAGATCGCCGCCAAAACGGACTAAGCTTGTCGTTCGGAAACTCGACTTTCCACCTCAAACCACAGTCGAACGTCGTCTCTGTCTCCTCCTCCACCCACTGACCAGCCTCAACCAGCCTCCAATCCGGGGAATTGACGCTCTTTTATACCGGAGAGTATCCTCTACTCAATTGACACGTTTTTTGTCGCCTTTTCGCCCTCACACACACAATGTTCGTCCGGTCTGTTTCTCGGGCTGCTGCTCGCAGCTCTGCCATGCCCACCACGGCCATTCGCTCCTACCGCACGGTTCCTAGCCCAATTGCTTGCCTGAACGCTCGTCCTCAGCCTCAGCAGAAGTCCATTGCTTCCCAGCAGACCCGCGCCTCTTCCGAGCACGCCATCTCGAATCCCACACTCGCCGGTATCGAGAAGCGCTGGGAGGCCATGCCTCCCCAGGAGCAGGCCGAATTGTGGATGCAGCTGAGGGATCGTATGAAGGTTGACTGGCACCAGATGACTCTGCAGGAGAAGAAGGCTGGTATGTATCTCTATCTCTCTTTTGCGCGGATACCAGACGTCCCGGGTGGTCAGAATTTTTGCTGATCAGAGTTTCTAGCCTACTGGATTGCTTTCGGTCCTCACGGCCCTCGTGCGGCTCCCCCCAAGGGCGAGGGCATGCGAATTTTCTGGAAGGTCGCTCAGCTGACCCTTGCCTCCTTCGCCGTCTTCTACGTGATCCATCTGTTCGCCAAGCCCCAGCCTAAGACCATGTCCAAGGAGTGGCAGGAAGCCTCCAACGAGTACGCCAAGGTACGTATATATTGCTGTTATGGGCAACTTCTCTGTGGAGCTGTTTTACCCTGGTGTAGTTGAATAGTCATTGACATCGTTTTACAACAGCGCGAGAACATCAACCCTCTCTACGGTATTAGCAGTGAGGGCTACGAGGGCAAGGGCTTCGTTCAGAGCCCTCCTGCCGAGAAGAAGTAGATTGAAGGATAAGTATCTGGGAGGAACAGGTGTGGCATTCAGACACGCTGGATTGGCAGTGCTGGAGTTGAGTGACCGTCACCTTGTCCCTTCTGTTGACCTCGGCTGCGTGCCTAGGCCGATTGGACAATTTCGCCTTCGCCCTTGTCTTCCAATCTTGACAATTCGACTTCCGAAAATCCTTGTGTATCTCGTACTGTGCAATAATCAATGTATCTCCTTTGTAGCCATAGATCATTTTGTTGCATTGTCTTCCCACTTTGTTGCCAGTATTGATGACGTAGAATTTGCTCTTATAGAGGCTTAGGCACCGCGCTACGCACATCCATGGGCAACACTTTAACGCTGTGACCCTTCATGTAGCCTCGAGAGCTGCTTCAATGGAGATATATGATCGAAAGCCTATATGCTGTCAGTAGACCTGTCTATGTGTTGCCCAATGCTAATGCAGCATATGCTATAACGACAGCTCCCTATAATGAAGCTGCAGGTAGTTCTCAGTCCATTTTCCTACATTGAATACAATAATGGCGTCTTACTATCCGGCTGGTTCATAAGCTGAAAGGAACTTGCTACCCTACCTAGTGTAATACGCAGTACGAGCCGATTACAAGAACACGTCAGAAAATTCGATAACAGCGCTCGTCCGAGGAGAGGAGCCGGGATTGTTTGCGGAGCAACCGGTACCGAGAAAGCAGAAAAAAGAGGATGAAACGAATTGATCGGTCCATTAGAGTCACATATTTAAGTACGATATGTTGTTGACCTGGAGATAAGCTACATGCATCATGTAAACGAGTATCAAATTTTGATGGGGTTGCTGTACAACTGTACAGGTATCCAAAGCTCCCTGCATCCGGGTGCCAAGAAGCCTTCCGTTTGTGTGCGCGAATTCCCCTAGGTGACCACAACAGGGCAAGGATGGAGATGTGGAAGCCCGGGCAAGTTGGGTTCGATGGCCAGGAAGAACACAGCATCTGACCGTGAGATCTTAAGATAGAAGAAAGAAGAGTTTCCAGATAGCGGTGCTTTCTTATTCTTGAGAAAATGAGGCTCGTTGCGCACTGGGTTTTCTTGCGCATTGCTCGGTACATCACGGGATCGTCGGCAAAACCGCCCCGGAAAGGCTAAGCCGGACACAGTCGCCCGTGTCCACCTCAACCTCAACCTCTTCCCTTCCCTTCCCTCTTTCTTCCCTCTCCCCATCTTCTTGTCCCTTTGACCTCTTTAACCCCATTTTCGCTCTTAAACACCATCAAAATGTTCAAGAGGTTTGTTGCACCGCCAATTCTCGCCGAATCGCTTTTTTTCCCATTTTTTCGCCCGCTAACCTTGGTTTTTTGGATGATTTAGCGGTCTTGCCCGGACCTTCGGGAGGGCTGCTTTTGCTCGACCATCCCCCGTCGCTCGTCGCGCAATCCAGCCCCTCAGATCCAATGGCCTTCCTTCCCTGGCCAGATTCGCCAGCACTGAGGCTGGTTCGGTCGGAAAGATTCACCAGGTCATTGGTGCCGTCGTCGACGGTACGTCCGAATCTCCCCGTTGAAAACCCTGCTGGCAGCCTTCGCGAAAATCTTTTCCTGGCGTCAAATCCATCTCAACAGCCATCAAAATGGGGTCAATAGCAATGTCAAAATACGATATCTGACTCTAGCCTACAGTGAAGTTCGACGGTGACAAGCTCCCTGCCATTCTCAACGCCATTGAGACCGAGAACAATGGCCAGAAGCTCGTCCTTGAGGTCTCTGTATGTATTTGATATCTGATATCCGACCTCGATGACATCAATCGTGCCTTAGCTAACCGAGTAACAGCAACACTTGGGTGAGAGTGTCGTCCGTACTATTGCTATGGATGGTAAGCTCTCGACCCCCTTCTCATCACCAGCGTGACACCTAGATTTTTCTTGGCGATATCGGCGCTGCTTTACCATCGAATCGACTGACATATGTCCGGCTTCCAGGTACCGAGGGTCTGACCCGTGGTGCTCCCGCCCGCGACACCGGTGCTCCCATCAAGATCCCCGTTGGCCCTGCCACCCTTGGCCGTATCGTCAACGTCACTGGTGACCCCATTGACGAGCGTGGTCCTATCAAGGCCACCAAGTTCGCTCCTATCCACGCTGAGGCCCCCGAGTTCATTGAGCAGTCGACCTCCGCTGAGATTCTGGTCACTGGTATCAAGGTCGTCGACCTTCTCGCCCCCTACGCCCGTGGTGGTAAGATTGGTCTCTTCGGTGGTGCCGGTGTCGGCAAGACTGTCTTCATCCAGGAGTTGATTGTGAGTTGTTCCACATGTTCTGCTAATTCTTCGTTGGACCTTTTCACTGACGCACCTCCTGTAGAACAACATTGCCAAGGCCCACGGTGGTTACTCCGTCTTCACTGGTGTCGGTGAGCGTACTCGTGAGGGTAACGATCTGTACCACGAAATGCAGGAGACTGGTGTCATTCAGCTCGAGGGTGAATCCAAGGTCGCCCTGGTGTTCGGTCAGATGAACGAGCCCCCCGGTGCCCGTGCCCGTGTCGCCCTTACCGGTCTGACCATTGCCGAGTACTTCCGTGACGAGGAGGGTCAGGACGTGCTGCTCTTCATTGACAACATTTTCCGTTTCACCCAGGCCGGTTCTGAGGTGTCTGCTCTTCTCGGTCGTATCCCCTCTGCCGTCGGTTACCAGCCCACCCTGGCCGTCGACATGGGTGGTATGCAGGAGCGTATCACCACCACCAAGAAGGGTTCCATTACCTCCGTCCAGGCCGTCTACGTGCCCGCTGACGATCTGACTGACCCTGCCCCCGCCACCACCTTCGCTCACTTGGACGCCACCACTGTCTTGTCCCGTGGTATCTCTGAGTTGGGTATCTACCCTGCTGTCGACCCTCTCGACTCCAAGTCTCGTATGCTCGACCCCCGTATCGTCGGTGAGGAGCACTACGCCGTCGCTACCCGTGTCCAGCAGATGCTCCAGGAGTACAAGTCCCTCCAGGATATCATTGCCATTCTGGGTATGGACGAACTTTCCGAAGCTGACAAGCTCACCGTCGAGCGTGCTCGTAAGCTCCAGCGTTTCCTGAGCCAGCCTTTCACTGTCGCCCAGGTCTTCACTGGTATCGAGGGTAAGCTGGTCGACCTCAAGGACACCATCCGCAGTTTCAAGGCCATCATCAACGGTGAAGGTGATGATCTTCCTGAGGGTAAGTTTGAGCATCAGTCTTTTGAAAATTCGAAATCAATGCTAATGGCCATCTTTTAGCTGCCTTCTACATGGTTGGTGACTTCGAGTCTGCCCGCGCCAAGGGTGAGAAGATCCTGGCTGAGCTCGAGGGCAAGGCCTAAATGTAATATTGTTTTTTAAGCGCCCTTTTCTTTTTATGGTTGTTAGACATGGAATCTCTTTCTTCAGTGTTCCGTTTTCTTTCGATGCGTGTACAGTACTCGAATTAAGGAAAGGGATTCGAAAGAAAGAAAGTTTTCATGGAAAAAGGAAAAGGAGCACTTGCATCTACCCTTGTAAGTCTGGATGGAAACTTCCGGGCTTGTGTTACACTATGTGCTCATGTAAGTAAGTTTAAAATGACCACAGCCAGCCTGAATACCCACTGGGCTGGGACAATTGTACCATTTCTTTTGTTGGATTGGAGAGAGTGTTTGCGTAGTTGATTCGTTCTTGTCATCGTAGCCTTGATCTATTCCAAGTATTTCTACGAAATTTTGTCTCTGTATGTAGCATTGCTTCTTGCAATACGCATTCAACCAAATGTAGGTCATAAGAGACAGGCTCGATGCGAAACGTAATCAAGTCAGTGAATTCTAGGCTTATTAGGCACAACACGACGAGAGTCCATGGAGTACTGAGCAAACGCTGGTGGTATTCCCGGTCATGGACTGCAACATATATAGGTTGCGGGTAGACACCATGATTGGTGAACTAAGGAGAAATATCTACATTGCATTGCGCAAAGACATACATAGGTTACTCAAGTAGCTAAGATAGACTTTATATTATGTGCGGTGGTGCTTATTAGACAGTGCAATATATTCATATCAGTATGTAAGGCTTAGTATTGAACGCGACCACAAGTGGCATGAATCCATTAAGATGTTTACAGTGTTTCTTCCAGGGCAAGGACCTGCCATTGAAGTTTCTGTTAGCACTGAATCGCCAAGGGAGGGGAAAAGGTGGATGGAGGACATACCAGCGCTGTTCGGGTAGGAATGTAGACCTGCAGGTAATTACCACGGCCGTTCCAGGACATATCAGTCGTGAAGAAGCGGGTCTCCTTGAGATTGCGGCCGAAGCCACCAAAGGCCAGATCATCAGTGTCCAGGGCGATGCGGTAGGTACCTGGCTTGTCGACGCCGACACGGTAGTCGGTGAAGCTTTCTGTGGGGTGGAAGTTGAAGATCCAGAGCAGACCTGCGCGCTCAAAGACGAGGACCTTGTCGATCTCGTGCTTGAGGCTCACGTAGGCTTGTGGCGAGTGTAGCCAGCCGTACTTCTCCTCGGTCAACTGCATGCCGCGGTCGAACTCGTTGAGGAACTTGTAGCGGAGGAGATGGTCCTCGGTGAGGTTGAGTTGGCGGCGGGCATACCAGAAGGAATTGTTGTTTCCGGCACGGGGGAAGTCGAGCCATTCTGGGTGTCCGAACTCGTTGCCTTCGAAGTTGAGGTAACCCTCTCCTCCCAGGCCGTGGGTGACCAGTCGGATCATCTTGTGCAGGGCCATGCCGCGTTCGATGGTGGGGGTGAATTCGGTCAGCACGGACATGTGAGTGTACATTTCCTTGTCGCAGAGCCACATCATGAGCGTTTTATCGCCGACCAGGCTAAAGAAAAGTTAGTTTTCATGGATGGCATTGCAGATATCGGGAGGGCACTAACGCTTGATCATGGCTTTCTGCATATGCGATTGTCTTCTCGCCGTGACGTCTGTTGGTCAGGGTGAAGGCGAGATTGCCCATGTCCCACTCGCTATCGGACTTTTCCTTCAGAAGTTTGA